TTATATATATATTTTTATTAATTAAAAGCACTATTTTGTTTTTATATCTACATATTTTTATAAGCTGAATTCCACTGTAGATGAAAAATGAAAAAAAGTGTTTTTCTTGGATTGCTTACTCAGATGACAAAATTGTTGGTTGTCAGAGTCTGGCACAAAAGCAAATATTCAACCTTTTCTTCAGAACTTCAGAAAAATGACTCCTCAAAGAGCATTTTCAGACAGGTAAAACCACATACAAACAACAGAAAAACTACAACAGCCACTTCAGAAGTAGTGAGAAATGGGGAACGTTCATGAAACCTGACCTCATTTGAATATAAACTGGTTTTATTTGTCAAAGCTGACATTTGCGAGGTTGGGCTCACTTCCACTCCTCCACTTTGGCATTAACAGCAGCCATCACTGGGTCGTCCTCTTCAACTCGAGCCTGGTTTTGTTCATTTAGCTCTCTGACCTTTAAAAAGACATCCATTTAAAGTGAGTCCATTAATTATAACAATAATTAATTTTTCTTTCAATCATAAAAGAGGCCACCCCCCATTACATGCATGCACACTCACAAACTACTCAGATTTACGCAAAACTCAACCGTAACTATTTATTTCTGCCAAATGTAGCTAGGAGAACCAGTTCATGAGGTACAAACATTATATCGATCAATCAGCATTCAGGACTGAAATTATCCATTTTTTACAGTAAATTTGATTAAAGCACCTGAAGCTTGGCATGATCTCTTTCTTTTCTCAGCTGATCCATGATGGCATCCGTCTGCTGGACTGCGATCTTCATCTTGTTGTATTCATCTGTCATGTTCTCCATCTCCTTCACAGACTCCTCCAAATTCTTCTGCAGGTGCTCATTCTCGCTCTTCAGGTTGGCAGCCATGTCCTCGGCATGCTGGGAATAGGGAGGATTTGTTGATCACAACATGAAGATGACACAAAACAGGAGACTGCATTTGAAACATGCTTTAAAAGGTGACATATACAGGACTCCCCTGAAATAAAAGACACCACCAAGATTGAAAACCCACTACTTCATCAAAAAAAAA